ACTCACCTTTCCTGGCCCCATCCCCGCCTCTTCGACCTGTTTGTTTCTTCTCCACCTATCCTCTCCTCCATCCCTCTTCTATCCGCCTCCCACTCTCTCCCTATTTATTTCAAAACCCCCTTCCCCTCCCCCTTTTCTGATGAAGGGTCTAGGCCCGAAACGTCAGCCTCTCTGCTCCTATGATGCTGCTTGGCCTGCTGTGTTCATCCAGCCTTGCACCTTGTTGTCAACAATATGATGTACATTGTTGCCTTCTTTTCCACCATCTATATATAGCTCTTAAAAACACTTCATTGAAGAGAACAACTCCACTACATCAAATTAAATGTGTGTGTACTGGTTAAAAATTAAACAAACATTTTGCACATCAATGAAAATTCAATTCTACATTTTGGGTTTATAAAGATAATCAGTCCACATGCACATGAAGGGTAGTATGACTATAATCTCCATAACGAAACTACAAAAGTCTCTATTCAACTGATAAAACATTGTTAACCCAAAATACATAATACCAGGAAGTAAAATAAATTGAGATGATCAATTGGTAATCTCATCTGCAAATTCTCTGGACAAAGCTAATGTTACTGGTGAAAGAAAAATATTGTTAATTTAGATTCATTGAGAATTAGATGACAATCAGGAAAGAATAATATTAAGAAAAATATTTAAGGTATAAAATATTCTGAAATTGAGAAAGCTTTCTGCATTCAAAACTTTTATTTGAGAAGAGAGGCCTCACCATTGCCTTTCACTCTTCCTTCAGACAGAGCACCTGGGTCACCTTACCTTTACATTGAGGTATGATCCATCTTGGCCTTCTCCAGTGGTCCCCAGCATCACAGATATGAGTCCAGCCATTTCAATTCATTCCACATGATATCATGAAATGGTTGGAGGCACCGGATACTGCAAAGGTTATGGGCCCTACGAGCAATAGTACTGAAGACTTGCCATTTCTCCAGAACTTGCCATTCCCCCAACCGTGATGCTCCAGTATAGTTACAACACTGGCATCTATCTAACAATGTTGAAATTTGCCCAGGTAGGTACACAAAAAGCATGACAAATCCAAACTGGCCAATTAGTGCCCCATGAGTCTACTCTCTCTCAGTAAAGCTGTGGGAAAGTGTCATCAACAGTGTTATTAATCAGCATCTCCTCAACAATAACCTTCACACCAGTTTGGGTTCCGTCAGGACCGCTCAGCTCCTGATCTTATTACAGTCTTGGTTCAAACATGGATAAAAGAGCTGAATTCCTGAGGTGAGAGTGACAGCCTTTGACATCTAGCCACATTTGACCAAATGTGGCATCAAGAAGCCCGATTAAAAATGGAAACAATGCATACCAGGAGGCAAACTCTCCACTGCTTGGAGTCACACCTAGCAATAGAAAGATGGTCATGGTTCTTGGAGGTCAGTCATCCCAGCTCCAGGACATTTCTGAGGAGTTCCTCAGGGTAGTGTCCTTGGCCCAACCATTTTCAGCTGTTTCATTAATTACCTTCTCTCCATCATAGAGCAGAAGTGGGAATGTTTACTCATGATCACAATGCTTAACGCCATTCACAACTCCGCAGATAAAGAACAGTTCACGTCAAATGCAACAAGATCTGGACAAGATCTAGGCATGGGTTGATAAGTGGCAAGTAAAATTCACACCACACAAATGTAGAGCAATGACCATCTCCAATAAGAGACAACCTAACCACCACCCCTTGATATTCAGTGCTGTTACCATCACTGAATCCTCAACTATCAACATCCTTGGGGTCTACCATTGACCAGAAATTCAGCTGCACATAAACACAATGGTTACAAGAGGAGATCAAATGCTAAGAGTACTGGGATGAGTAACTCATCTCCTGACTCACAAAGCCTGTCCATGATCTACAAGACACAACTTAGGACTGTGTTGGAATACTCCCCCATTTGCCTGGACCAGCAACACTCAAAAAGCTTGACACCATCCAGGGCAAAGCAGCTCGCTTCACTGGTGCCATAGCCACAAGCATCCACTCCCTCCACCACAGCTGATCAATAGCAGCAGTGTGTACTATCTACAAGATGCATTGCAGAAATTCAAAGATCCTTAGATAGTGCCTTCCAAACCCGCCACCAGTTCCACCTAGAAGGTCAAAGGTAGCAGATACATGGGAACGCCACCATCTGCAAGCCATACACTGGCTTCATTATTGATCCCTGGTCCATAAAATACTCCGGATTCTTCACCAATTGATAACTGCTCCAAATTCCAGTGCCAGAGAGAGCGAGAGCCAGAGTGAGTGCGAGAGCGAAAGTGAGCACGAGGGAAGGGAAAGAAGAGAGAGAGAGAGACTTTATGGGCAGGGCAAAGTTAGGGCAGTCAGCAAGAAAGACCATGTTGCTCCGTAGTGAAAACCAAGAAGGATGCAGGAGGGAAGGGGTCTCTGGTCGAAGAGGTGTATCCCATAGTAATTCCAGAAATCTGCAAAATTCATCTTGCCATAGTTAATGGGGAAAGGTATTGCTAGATTGGCCTTCCTACTATTATTCACATCAGGGCTCCTCCAAAAACCAAGAGAAATGCATGTTGATAGTTATTCAACATTACACCTAAGCAAATCAGGGAGAAAGTAGCCAGTTAGAAGTTGGAAGTGACGTCAGACAGGTTTTTGTGAAAACACATTCAGGTGAGAGTGGGATGGAAGATATAACCATGGCATGTTTTCGGGTGTACTAAAAGAATTTTTTTTCTGCAGTTTAATGTTACTTGCTAAATTTTGTTGAGTCAATGTTGTTGTTGCAGTAAGAGAGTTAAACTCAAAATCTTATAGTGCAATTCCCTCAAGTTGGACAGAAAAAGAGGGAGCAACTCTCTAAGAGACAAAGGACTGCAATCAGGGTGGTCAGCAAAGAAGAGCATGCTGCTGGGAAATTGGGAACTGGGAATTCAAATATTTTTTCAAAGGGGCGGCATGGTGGCTCAGTGGTTAGCACTGCTGCCTCACAGTGCCAGGGACCTGGGTTCAATTCCACCCTCGGGCGACTGTCTGTCCGGAGTTTGCATGTTCTCCCCGTGTCTGTGTGGGTTTCCTCCGGGTGCTCTGGTTTCCTCCCACAGTCCAAAGATGTGCAGACTAGGTGGATTGGCCATGCTAAATTGCTCGTAGTGTTCAGGGATTATGTAGATCAGGTGGGTTATATGGGGACAGGTCTGGGTGGGATGCTCTGAGGGTCAGTGTGGACTTGTTGGGCTGAAGGGCCTGTTTCCACACTGTAGGGATTCTATATCAATGATCATCTAATGCTAAAGGGATCACATTAGTGTGCACAGTTAAGGCAGATCTTTATAGTGAATTGTAATGCCTCCATTATTGATCACTGGTCAATAAAATACTCCTGATAGTTCACCAATTGATGACTTCCATTTTCCAGTACCATCATACCATTTTGATCAGCATGAAGTCACCCATTCAGAATATGTATGTGTCCTTAAGGCACTCAGTGCTTCTGTCAAAAAGTTACCCAACATGCAGTAATGCTCGAGTTTTGAGGAAGGATCACTCAACCCAAAATGTTAACTCTGCTTTCTCTCCACAGATGATGCCAGACCTGCTGAACTTTTCCAGCGATTTCTGTTTTTGTTTTTGTTTCTGATTTACTGCATCCGCAGTTCTTTTGGTTTTTATGGAGAAATGCTGTTTCCTCAGCTGAGAGAAGACAATTGCTAGAGATGTCATAAAATGTCATGCAACCCTGAGTTAATCTTCAGGTTCTGAAGGCACTCTTTCCTACTTAAAGTACAACTGTATCATCATCTATCATGGGTTTGCTCTGTTCGTGGGGCAGGACACACCCAAGGGTGTCATGGAGGAGTCTGGAAAATTAGCTGATTGCTATGATCTTTCAGAATGACTATGTTGTTCTGTTGTTTGACTCATCTGTAGGACAGCTCTTAACCGTGGTCCAAGTCTTCACATGTTAGTGAGGAAGATTTTGCAGAGTTAGCTGTGTTTGCTTTTTAACATGCCATGTCCAAATTTGATGGCTAGCTCAATGTCAGATGGTTTATTCAGTATATTCTCATCATACCTTTTTAGATGGGGTTTTCCCTGTCTTGTGACTCTTGAACCAAGAAACTTTTCTCAATTGGAAAAGACCTACCTCTTTTCCTGAGGTGAAGTGAAATTTCTTCATTTAAGGCATGGCAAATCTTTGGCATTCCCTACCCTATAGGGCTGAGAATTCATTGACTGCAAGAATGGTAGAGGCAGAATCCCTCATTGAGTTTCTGTAACCTAAAGCTTATGAACCATGAGCCGGAAATTGGAACTATGCAGGAATGAACTCATTTTCAGCCAGCACAGACATGATGGGCTGAATGGTCTCCTCCAAGCTTTTAATTTTTATCATTCTACAATTACTTGCCCTTGTTTCTTTAGTTTCAACATACTCAATACAGTAAAAGTATTTTGCCGACTGAATGACAAAAGACACCGCATTAATGCAAACTGTTTTTTTACCCTTTCTGCAAGGAAGTCCACGTTATTGCTTCAAAGTACACCAGTCAAATTGAGGACATAAACTAGTGAAAGGTATGCTTGGAATCAACGTTCAGTATAATCTGTCAGATAAGGTAATTAAACCAAAATACTGGGATTTTTCAACATGCAACTATCCTAAGATGGGAGAGTTGAAAGAGTAAAAAGCTAACCAGCCTTTCTGTGCCCCTAACTTTTCTAATGTTCTTCATTGTGATCACCAAGATTAGAGAAATACTAATTTCAGGTCTGGTCATGCCATCCCTGTCTCTTTCTATCAAAATGAAGCAGACTACTTCAGTGACGGTCCACTCAGCAACTTTGTTGAAAGCCAACAAAACCTCTATAATGAACAAAGCCAAATTTAATGTTTGTTGATACAAAGATACAAATAGGCTTGTGATCAATTATTTTGCAACTTTATTTTTGATTTTAAAAAAATACTTAATTTATAATCCAATTGCCATCATCACTTCACATAACATAATCCTTTTTATTGTAAGAGATGTTTGACATGTACCTCTTTGACTTCTTTGAACACACGTACAAATTCTTCATTAATGGACAGGCTACGCCGTTCTATGTCTCCTCGTAGATTTCTCCTGGTGCGTAAACTATTCTCGGTGAAGAACACAGATAAGGCTTTAAGAGCCTCCAACATATCCTGTGAATTGAGAAAAATACATATTTCAATTTATTAGAAAACTTACTGTATTAAGAACTATTAAGTTATAGTTTAAAAGCTAACTACCTGTCTTTGCTGACCTTGCTATGGGGAGCCATATTGAAACTGTTGTAAAACAGCATGATTATGCTACTATGGTTTTGGACTTGCAGCACAAGTTATTAGCAAAATGAATAACAAACAAATGCACAGCAGCATCCATTCATAAGGTGAAAAATCTGGAACAATTCCATTAAGTTTTATATTCCTTTGCAGTACACTTTCATTATTTTTAAAATTAAATTGATGTTTCTCATCAATACTACATATTAAATAAATAAACCTGTTGCTAAAAAAGCTATCAATAGCACAGATTTTAGCTAAATAGCAAGTATAACACAAGGGCTTGATAAGAAAGTCATTTCCAAGAATTTGGGGCACGTCTGTAAGAAACTTGTCAAAGCAAGACCTATGATAAGTGAGATCAACAAAATCCTTAGAGAAACGTGAATCACCGGCAAATCATTATTTACTGAAGAATTCCTCCAAAAAACTATAGCCTCTATGAATCACTGTGACAAATTAAAGTAGCACAGAGAATTAATGTATTTTGTTGAAAAGTAGGTAATACGGATTTCAAGGCTTTATTGATTGCAGGGTTAATGAGTGTTGTTTTTGCTGTAGCAGTGATAAATCTAGTTAAATGCCTAGCTGCTTCAAAAACAATTCAACAACCCAAGGTCTCAATGCACCATGTACCTACGGCACACAAGTCAAGGCAGTTCTAGGGTAAGCCTTTGACTATCTCCTGTTAGCGGAGGTCAGACAGATGTTTATAGGTAAATTACATACGCCTTTGTTTTGAGTTGACACTGTGAATTCTTCACCATACTAAGTGACCCTGACTGGCATCAGGTATGTTTGAATAAGACCTAGTTCAGATATGCTAGCCCCAATATGAATAACCTGTTGACACTTGTCAAAGCTTCACACTCGGATTGTTAAAAGTATGTCTCAGAGAGACAGACAGGAGTTGTCAAAAACACATAAATTACTCTTTCAGTCCATTTCACAGTTGAATACAAGTGATTTGTATTATTTATTGTTATAGATGCTAACAATAAAAGTCCCCACTTTATTGATTATGTTTACAGCATATACAATGGCCATTTTGAAATTAAAAACACCTACAAAACAATGAAAGCTGCTGCCAGCTCTTAAAGTATCTGCAAAGTACAGGTTTCACTATAAGGTACAACTGAAGCTTAAGATAACTACAACATATCTCACTAGGGAGGGAAAAGGAAAATCATAATCATGATTCCAGGAAAGTGAACTGCAGAACAGGATTAACTTTGGCTTTAATGTCCTCCCAAGTCAAAATGTCAATGTTCCCTGTACAGAATTACCAGAGATGAATCACCAACGTGACAAGGTATCAAAAGTTTGTCATTGTCTTTGGAACCATGCAACAGGAGTAAATACTAGTGGCAAGTGAGACAAAATAAATAGCAATTGTGCCAAATCTGCTGAAAATGCTCTCTATTCACCATGAGAGGCCAGTTCAAAGTGAATGAAGAGGACTGAGATGGACTAGAAGTATAACATTGAAACTTTTAGAATGGGAGAACGCCTGCCTTTAGGATTGCAAAGAGTTAACACCCAGAAGAATACTGAAATCAGCCTGCTCACAAAAGCTGCTCAATTCTCAAGCTCCACCATGCAATGAGATGAACAGATAAATTTAAGCAGTACCAAGAACAAATAAATGCACATTGACACAATACAGCTTCAAAAAGTCAGCTCCTATTTCTGCTTCAGTATATTTTCAGAATATGTTAAAAAAAGATTTTAAAATGTGCTGCAGTAACACTAAGTCAAAAGGACTGAACTGACTTACAGGATTCAATATTTTTTCCAGTAGGGGAAGCAGAGATTCTCTTTTTTTATTGGTACACATGAATGACAAACCTGACTCTTAATATCTGTATAACTGTCAACAGAAATCAAAAGGAACTCAAAACCATTACCACACAATTATGAAGAATCTACTGCTGGCAGAAGTTTATTTCTTCTGGTTTTCTTTTATTATACATTCCACAACAGCAGCACACCGTGCAATACAGTTTGACATGCGACACAGGACTTCTGATATGTGTCTCAAGAGTTCATTCTTCTAGACGGGAAGGGTCATTAGTCACAGCAAACATTATGGATAAACTGTCTGACATAGTCCTATCAGAATAAAAAAATCCTAACTTATTTTTAATAGGACTAAACCTAATTGCAGTGTTCCCAATGCTGCTTAGCTGGAATCACTCACTCAGCCAGTTTGGATCTTCCTTATCGGTACGGTAACGTGCTGTTAACATGCAGAACCATACACTTATCTACAAAGTAGAAGAGAACTCTCACAATTTTACTAATGCCTCATACCTGGAATTTTTAGAAGCAACCGTTTAAATTGGAGTTAAGAGCCAGTAAGGGAGCACAAACCACAGCTTGAGAATATCAGAAACTCAAAACATTCACAATAAGTAGTTTCAAAAACACAAATATTAAGCTAAGATGTTTCAGCACAATCAGTGGGCTTGCAATATTAGCCAGAATATGCTCAATGCTGCACCGTTACAATTTTCACTGGTGTCATTATCTTACAGGCTACTAACATTTGAATAATATAACAGATTGGAATACTTTGGGACAACAGGATGTCCGAGAACATAATACATATTGCTCTCATGGCGGTCCCTTCCATCTGGCTTCTTCCTCAAGATTATTGCTTTCCACCTACCTTGTTCTTTCCACTATTCCTTTCCATCTGGTTCTCTACCCTGCACACCAAGTATCCCCTCACTTGCAGCTACAGGCTGTTTCCTCAACGTCATCCTGTTTCCCAATCAACCAAACTGCTGAAAGATCTACTTTATTTTCCACCAGTAAAAGGAATGAAAGCATTTATGTTACTATGAAAATCATCAACTGCCATCATCAGTTTAGAACAGGAATAAATGTATTATCTAGGACAGCAGTGCATTTTTAATATCAAAATATTCCCTTCAGCTTTCCCTTAACAGAATATATTTATTTAAAATTCTAAACATATGCCATGTAATATGTTTTAGATGGAGATAAAACATACCACATTATGTCTTAAAATGCGTCAAATTTGATTTCATTACACACTTTCTCAAGCATTAAGTGACACCTGAACATTCACAAGAAAGGTTAAATTTGAGGAGCTAACAGGTTTGTGTTGTGAATAACTGTTGTATAAAAATATTTGCCTAAATTATTTGCATAGGTAGATGTTAAAAAAATGCTTTCAAAAGTGGCAGATCGCTTTTCAATTCCTCATAGTACTTTGCACAGTATGAAGCAAGAAAATACTTTGTCTGTAATCTGGCCCATCCAGAATCAATACTATTTCTAGTGTATTTTTTAAAGCAAACAAATATAATTCTTATCTCTCTAGAGGCTCAGCAAAGAACAAATATCCACAAGCTTCAATGCACTCTTCTGTTTTCCTTTTATGGACCAGTCTTACCCAGGCTTTCTGACTGCCCATGACACTCTTAAAAAGCAGCTACAATGTGTGATCAATTAATGTGGCATATTCTCAATGAACTTAAAATTGGAACAGGAGAAAGTGAGGGTCACTATCTTCTGTCATTTCATTCCAAAAGAGGCATCAGCAATCCGTAATTTCTAAATTAAGAATTATTGTACTTTAATAAGGGAGTCATTTACAGAGTGGCATTACCACAAGACTATTAATCCAGAACCTCAGGTAAAGTTTTGAGGACCCAGGTTCAAATCCCGCCATGGCAGATGGTGGAATTTGAATTCAATAAAAAAAATCTGGGATTAAGTGTTTAATGATGACCATGAAATCTATGTGGTTTACTAATGTCCTTTAGGAAAGGAAACCTGTTAGCCCTACCCTATCTGGTCTATACGTGACTCAAGACCCATAGCAGTGTGGTAGGCTGTCAACTGGCAATTAGCGATGAGCAATAAAAACTGGCCTGGCCAACGACATCCACATCCTGTGAATGAATAAATTTTTAAAAAATTCTTTAGTGGCTCTCACTTGCCAATTTTGTTTCTTTATTTATACGAGAGAAGCAAAACCCGTTCTTTGGAAGGAAGAATCTTCATTGGGCTCTTGTGGGAAAGCAATAGCATCCCTACTGCTGAGGCAGGAAGCCTGGATTCAAAGTCCCACCTGCTCCAGAGGTGTGTAATAACATCTCTTAACAGGTTGATTGGAAAAATCTAAACTAAAGTCCATATTTCATTATTAAGCTGCGTGGTTTGAGTACTCAATCCACAGACCTGTATCACTCCTGGGTTCCAAAGTTCCATCAGTAGTCACACAATTACATAAGTTGTGATGTAATAAAATCAAACCAAAATCATATTATTTAATATGTTATTACGTATTATTATATCTAAGATTACAAACAGCTCTTGATCAATTGGGTCAATGGGCTGAGGAGTGGCAGATGGAGTTTAACCGTGCGAGGTATTGCATTTTGGTAAAACAAACAAAGGTAAGACTTATACAATTAAAAGTAGGGCCTTGGGTAGAGTTGTAGGACAGAGAGACCTGGGGGTTCAGGTACATAATTCTTTGAAGTTTGAATCACATATAGAAAAAGTTGGTTCAGAAGGCATTTAACATGCTTGCCTTCACTGATCAGACCTTTGGGTACAGGAATTTGGACATTATGTTGAGGTTGTACTGGATGTTGGTGAGGCCTCTTCTGAAGTACAGTGTTATAGGAAGGATATTATTAAGCTGGAGAGGGTTCAGAAGAGATTTACCAAGACGTTGCCAAGATGTTTGAGTTATGAGGAGAGGCTGGATAGGCTGAGACTTTTTTCACTGGCGCATAGGAGGTTGACAGGTAGCCTTATACAGGTTTAAAAAATAATGACATGTATAGATAAGGTGAATGGCAGGTGTCTATTCCGTAGGGTGGGGGATTTCAAGA